TGGGTGACAGCAATGAACTGGGCAGTGTTTTGGGTGACAGTACTAAGGGGCAGTTTTTCTGGGAGACAGTACTAACGGGGGTGTGGTTGGTGACAGTACTAACGGGGCAGAGTGTTGGTGACAGATACTGAAGGGCAGTGTGTTGGGTGACAGCACTTACGGGGAGTATTTGTGACAGTACTAACGGGGCAGTGTGATGGGTGACAGTACTAACGGGGCAATGTTTTGGGTGACAGTATTAACGGGGCAGTGTTTGGGGGACAGATAATGAGCAGGGGCAGTTGGGTGACAGTACTAACGGGGCAGTGTTTTAGGTGACAGTACTAATGGGGCAGTGTGTTGGGTGACAGTACTAACGAGCAGTGTTTTGTGACAGTACTAACGGGGCAGTGTGTTGTGACAGTACTAGCGGGCAGTGTGTTGGATACAGCACTAGCGGGGCAGTGTGTCGGATGACAGTACTAACGTGGCAGTGTTGATGACAGTACTAACGGGGCAGTGTTTTGGGTGACAGTACTAACGGGGCAGTGTGTTGGGGTGACAGTGCTAACAGACCAGTGTTGGGTGACAGTTGCGGGGCAGTGTATTGGGTGACTATTAAGGGCAGTGTGTTGGGTGACTATTAGCGGGGCAGTGTGTTGGGGGACAGTACTAGGGGAAAGTTTGGGTGACAGTACTAGCGGGGCAGTGTGTTGGGGGACAGTACTAGCGGGCAGTGTGTTGGGTGACAGTACTAGCGGGGCAATGTTTGGGGTGACAGTACTTGCGGTGCAGTGTGTTGGGTGACAGTACTAGCGGGGCAGTGTATTGGGTGACTATTAGCGGGGCAGTGTGTTGGTGACAGTACTAGCGGGGGCAAGGTACAGCACCAAGGGCAGTGGTTGGGTGACAGACTTGATGGGGTGGTTGGGTGACAGATTGCGGTGCAGTGTGTTGGGTGACAGTACTAGCGGGGCAGTGTGTTGGGTGACAGAACTAGCGGTGCAGTGTGTTGGTGACAGTACTAGCGGGGAGTGTGTTGGGTGACAGTACTAACGGGGCATTGTGTTGGGTGACAGTACTAACGGGGCAGTGTGGTTGGTGACAGTACTAGGGGGGAGTGTGTGTTGGTGACAGTACCAGCGGGGCAGTGTGTTGTGACTACTAGCGGGACAGTGTTGGGGCAGTACTAACGGGCAGTGTGTTGGAGGACAGCACTATCGGGCAGTGTGTTGGGTGACTCATTAGCGGGTGTGTTGGGTGACAGTACTATCGGGGCAGTATGTTGGAGGACAGTACGCGGGGCAGTGTGTTGGATGACAACTAAAGGCGTGTGAGGACAGTACTAACGGGGCATTGTGTTGGGTGACAGTACTAACGGGGCAGTGTGTTGGGTGACAGTACTAGCGGGGCAGTGTGTTGTGACAGTACTGAGGGGGCAGTGTGTTGGGTGACTATTAGCGGGGCAGTGTGTTGGGTGACAGTACTAGCGGGGCAGAGTGTTGGGTGACAGCACTAGCGGGGCAGTGTGTTGGGGGACAGTACTACCGGGGCATTGTGTTGGTGACAGTACTAACGGGGCAGCGAGTTGGGTGACAGGGGGGCAGAGTGTTGGGTGACAGCACTAGCGGGGCAGTGTGTTGGGTGACAGTACTAACGGGGCAGTGTGTTGGTGACAGAGCACAGACCAGTGTGTTGGGTGACAGTACTTGCGGGGCAAGAAGGGGCAGTGTGTTGGGGACAGTACTAGCGGGAAAGTGTGTTGGGTGACAGTACTAGCGGGGCAATGTGTTGGGTGACAGTACTAGCGGGGCAGTGTGTTGGGTGACAGCAAGGATGACAGAACCAGCGGGCAGTGTGGTGGGTGACAGTACTAAGGGGCAGTGTGTTGGGTGACATTACTAACGCAGTGTTTGGGTGACAGTACTGGCGGGGCAGTGTGTTGGGTGACAGCACTAGCGGGGCGTGTTGGGTGACAGTACTGAAGGGGCAGTGTATGGCGTGAGGCGCATGAGCGGGCAGGGTTGGATGACAGTACTAGGGCAGTGTGATGGAGGACAGCACTATGGGGCAGTGTGTTGGGTGACAGCACTAGCGGGGCAGTGTGTTGGGTCACAGTACTAGCGAGGCAGTGTGATGGATGACAGTACTAGGGGCAGTGTGTTGGGGGACAGTACTAGCGGGGCAGTGTTGGTGACAGTACTGGAGGGGCAGTGTGTTGGAAGACAGTACTAGCGGGGCAGTGCGTTGGGTGACAGTACTAGCGGGCAGTGATGGAGGACAGTACTAGCGGGGCAGTGCGTTGGGTGACAGTACTAGCGGGCAGTCTGTTGGGGAAGGGAGGCAGTGACAGCACTAGCGGGGCAGTGTGCTGGTGACTATTAAGGGGCAGTGTTGGGTGACAGTACTAACGGGGAAGTGTGTTGGGTGACAGTAGTAGCGGGGCGTGTTGGGTACAGTACTAGGGACAGTGTGTTGCAGTGCAGCAGGTGTGTTGGGTGACAGCACTAACGGGGAAGTGTGTTGGGTGACAGTACTAGCGGGCAGTGTGTTGGGTGACAGTACTAAGGGGCAGTGTGTTGGGTGACAGTACTAGCGGGCAGTGTGTTGGGGACAGTACTAACGGGGCATTGTGTTGGGTGACAGTACTAACGGGGCAGTGTGTTGGGTGACAGTAATGAAGGGGGCAGTGTGTTGTGACAGCACTAGCGGCGCAGCATGGGGTGACAGTACTAGTAAGGTGTTTTTGACTGTACCACGGGGCAGTGTTTTGGGTGGACTGCACGGGGCAGTGTTTTGGTGACAGTACTAACGGGGGTGACAGTACTAACGGGGCAGTGGTTTGGGTGACAACACAGGATTACAGAACTAGCGGGCAGTGTGTTGGGTGACAGTACTAGCGGGCAGTGTGTTGGGTGACAGTACTAGCGGGGCAGTGTGTTGGGGGACAGTACTAACGGGTCATTGTGTTGGGTGACAGTACTAACGGGGCAGTGTGTTGGTGACAGTATTCTGAGGGCAGTGTGTTGGGTGAAGCACTAGCGCGCAGTGTGTTGCAGTAGCCAATGGGCAGTGTTTGGTGACTGTACTAAGGGGGCAGTGTTTGGGTGACTGCACCAACGGGGCAGTGTGTTGGGTGACAGTACTACCGGGGCAGTGTTTTGGCTGACACATTAGCGGGGCAGTGTGGTTGATGACAGAACTAGCGGGCAGTGTGTTGGGTGACAGTACTAACGGGCAGTGTTTTGGGTGACAGTACTAGCGGGGCAGTGTGTTGAGGATAGTACTAGCGGGGCAGTGTTGGGTGACAGTACTACCGGGGCAGTGTGTTGGGTGACAGTACTAACGGGGCAGTGTTTGTAGTGAGACAATCTAGCGGGGCAGTGTGTTGATGACAGAACTAGCGGGGCAGTGTGGGGTGACAGTACTAGTGTGGGGGGGTGACGGTACTAGCGGGCAGTGTGTTGTGGGACAGTACTAACGGGGCATTGTGTTGGGTGACAGTACTAACGGGGCAGTGTGTTGTGACAGTACTAGCGGGGCAGTGTTGGGTGACAGACCAGCGGCGCAGTGTGTTGGGTGACAGCAACTAACGGGGCAGTGTTTTGGGTGACTGTACTAACGGGGCAGAGTTTGTGACTGACCAACGGGGCAGTGTTGGGTGACAGTACTAACGGGCAGTGTGTTGGGTGACAGTACTAACGGGGCAGTGTTTTGGGTGGATAACATTAAGGGGCAGTGTTGGATGACAGAACTAGCGCAGCAGTGTATTGCGTACCAACGGGGCAGTGTTTTGGGTGACACTAGCGGGGCAGTGTGTTGGAGGATAGTACTGAAGGGGCAGTGTGTTGGGTGACATACTAACGGGCAGTGTTTTGGGTGACTGTACTAACGGGCAGTGTTTTGGGTGACTGCACCAACAGGGCAGTGTTTTGGGTGACAGTACTAGCGGGCAGTGTGTTGGAGGACAGTACTAGCGGGGCAGTGTGTTGGGTGAGAGTACTAGCGGGGCAGTGTGTTGGGTGACTACTAGCGGGCAGTGTGTTGGGGACAGTATTCGCGGGGCAGTGTGTTGGGTGACATTACTAGCGGGGCAGTGTGTTGGAGGACAGCACTAGCGGGGGCAGTGTGTTGTGACTACTAGCGGGCAGTGTGTTGGGGGACAGTACCAGCGGGCAGTGTGTTGGGTGACAGTACTACGGGGGGCAGTGTGTTGGGTGACAGTACTAGCGGGGCAGTGTGTTGGGGGACAGTACTAGCGGGCAGTGTGTTAGGTGACAGCACTAGCGGGGCAGTGTGTTGGGTGACAGTACTAACGGAGCAGTGTGTTGGGTGACAGTACTAACAGCAGTGTGTTGGGACACAGTACTAATGGGCAGAGTGTTGGGTGACAGTACTAGCGCAGTGTGTTGGGTCACAGTACTAGCGGCGCAGTGTGTTGGGTCACAGACGAGGCAGTGTGGTTGTAACTAGCGGGCAGTGTGTTGGGTGACATACTTTACGGGCAGTGTTTTTGGTGACAGTACTAACGGGGCAGTGTGCTGGAGGATTAGCGGGGCAGTGTGTTGGGTGAACTACTAGCGGGGCAGTGTGTTGCATGCAGCGGGCAGTGTGGGGTGACAGTACTGGCGGGGCGTGTTGTGACAGTAGCGGGGCAGTGTGTTGGGTGACAGTACTAGCGGGGTAGTGTGTTGGGTGACAGTACTGGCGGGGCAGTGTGTTGGGGTGAGAGCAGCGTGTATGAGGGTAAATACGGCAGTGAACGTAGCATCCGTTGGTCCCTCTTTTATCAATAACTGCTTGGTCTTACAACATATTTGTAGATAAACAGTAATCTCCCGGCCAGGTGTTACTAATCCTGGACACACCTGCACCTTGCACCTGCGCTACCCTGTACCTGTTCTGACAATATTATTCTCTATGCTACTTATGGTCTGGTCACTGGAATATCACATGTATTATCCACCATCTACTTTACATTTACACTTTTATAAAATTAAAATTTTCTCTTCCTTCTGTAGATTGACAGGATCCTCGAGCTCCCTCCCCGCTGGATCCCACAGAGTACAGAGACACTAAAAGTAAGACGAGGAAGGGTGCTTCTAAATTGAGAGACACCAAGTCTTCCGCATCTAGTGACCTTTCTCTGCCTTATGAAGCGGAGGAAATTTTGGAGGTGGATTCGTCAGGGATACCAGATCGCCCCTCTGAGTAAGTAGAAACATCGAAGGGTATGTAAGTATGAGAGTGTAAATATACACTCAAACTTAGTGCATATCTCACTCCTGTTGTTTAGTTTATATCAGTTTTATTTGTGCATGGAATATATTTATGCCAACTTTAATAATATATTATATTATTTTTATTAAATATAAAGGAAAACTTTGTAACCTGTGTGTTGATATATGAAAATTGCATCCGTAAATTAAATTAATAACAAGTAACCTTATAATTTTTGTTTTTACTCAAAATCAGAGAATGAAATATGAGTTGTACAACAAAAGCGAACATTTTCAACAAGCAATGGATGGTTATTACTATTTTGTTTAACTCTTAAAATCTTGATGCTTTATCCCGCGATAAGGTACAGTACTGTATAGTACAGTATATCCTACAGTAGGGACGGAATAAAGAATATAATCATTCATCATCTTCTGTCAATCAATTAGTCTTACTGCTGAAAAAGATGTGTTTTGCTACGTATTCCTTTTCATAATTGGGCTCCCAAGACTTTTTGTTTTTGTTTTTTGACAGGATTAGCCCACCAGGGCACATGTCACTCACCCACATCGGGGACTGGGGGCCAAATATAATACTACTAATAATAATAATTGTAATAGTAATAATAATAATAATAGTAATAATAATAATAATAAAAATAATAATAATAATAATAATAATAATCGTGTAATAATAATAATTAATAAAATATAAAATTTTAATAAAAAATATAAATTATAAAATACTACTCAAAATAATATTACACTGGGGAACACACTTTCGGTTGCATGAGTTCTGACACTTGATTCTGGTAGATTTGAGGTCACAGATTCTGAAAATGGCATTCGTTTGTGCAGATCAGGTCTAGATTCAGCAATCAGGCCTGTGCCCCATTCAGATGATGTTCCAAAGCCTATCTTCACTCAACTTGCTTCCGTTGAATCTGACAGTGAATATGACACTGAGGTCACAGAGGAGTCAACTAACAGAAATAGTCACTCAGATTTTGCAGGCATATCAACAGAACCGCAAACATTTAGCCAAGCAGAACTCAATGACTTAGTTCGAGATCTGGGTCTGTCTAAAAAGCTGTCAGAATTGTTGGCTTCACGGTTAAAAGATAAAAACTTGCTGAAAATAGACACAAAGGTAACATTCTTTCGCAACAGAGAAAAGAACCTCTTACAGTTCTTTGATTCTAAATTCTAAATTTGACTTCGTCTACTGTTGTGATATATCTGGATTAGTCACCGCGATGGGAGCTCCAGGTTATGATCCGAAAGAGTGGCGCCTCTTTATAGATAGCTCGAAGCGGAGTCTGAAGTGTGTTTTATTACATATAGGCAACATCTTTGGCGCAATACCCATAGGACACTCAGTACACCTGAAAGAAAAATATGAACACATCAAAACGGTTTTGGAGCTACTCAAATATGAAGAACACAAATGGATCATCTGTGTTGATCTAAAAATGGTCAATTTTTTGCTAGGACAGCAAGGTGGGTATACAAAATTTCCTTGCTTTATCTGCCTCTGGGACAGCAGAGCCAAAGACAGACACTGGATTCAGAAGGAATGGCCAGTTAGGGAAAGCCTCAATGTTGGGGAAAAGAACATCATTTATGAACCCCTAGTGGAACGTGAAAAAATTGTTTTCCCGCCCCTTCACATCAAGCTGGGCCTTATGAAACAGTTTGTCAAGGCGCTCGATACTGACAGTGACTGTTTTAAGTATCTGTGTGAAGTGTTCCCTGGTTTAACGCTAGAAAAACTCAAAGCAGGTATTTTCGACGGCCCTCAAATTAGGACGCTGATTAAAGACCTGATGTTGAGAGAAATGCATGGGGAGCATTCGTTTCTGTTGTAAGGAACTTTCTTGGAAACAGGAAATCAGAGGACTATAAAAAGCTCGTTGAATCTTTGATGGAAAGTTTCCATGTGTTAGGTTGCAACATGAGCATTAAGATGCATTTCCTGAACAGTCATCTTGAACTGTTTCCGGCAAACTTGGGGGACGTGAGTGATGAGCAAGGTGAACGCTTTCACCAGGATATCAAAGTCATGGAAGACAGGTATCAAGGTCGCTGGGACATTCACGTGATGGCGGACTATTGCTGGAGCATTCAGCGAGACTGCACTGAGAGGCGATATTCAAGACAGTCCATTAAACGCAAGTTTGTGCCTGAATAAATCTGGCATAGTTCACAAAAGCAACTGATGAATCCAAAATATGCTTGTCAAGGTAAATAAAAGTAATTAAAAATTAATTCTACGTGTTTGGTAATTCCTCTCTGTGTGCTGGTTTAGATTTTTAGCAGTAGTATATGGTAGTCTAACTATATATAGTAGTAAATGGTACGTAACTCACCGCAACAAAACTAGACCCGTTAGAAAAAAAACGGTGCCATATTTGAAATCAGTGACCTCAATTTACCCAGAAACAGGTCTCAAAATGTATGCAACTGACAAAAAGTTGAATTTTGTTCCCCAGTGTAATTATACTGTAGAGCCATGAATAAATATGAAAAAAAATCAAGAGTGAGAAACGATATACTGTACGTATGTTGTGTTGTCAAAGTAAGAGAAACAATTGAGACCCTGCAATTGTAAACAAAGCAGAAAGTCAGATCAGCAACCCGAGACTTGGCCACAATTTTCGTGATGCCATGTGGCAGCAGGGTCCACCTATTAGACAATACATTATGCTTCCAATATCTTCCCACAACTTGGCATCAATCATCTTTGACAACAAGTTCTCATCCCGTCTACGCACACCGTTGCTTCCTTTGTCCCACTCTTCGTGTTTACCTAACCCTCCACCTACCATCATCATCTGAATAAACAATATTTTACCAGTGTCTCACTACTGTTTCAGTTTGATCACATTACGTCAGCAAACTTACTGCAGCTCAACCGCTTTTAGTTTTCACCTCTACATTTCTTCCGTATGTCCTTATTTTTTATCCTCTTTAACCTATTCATTATCATTATGCCTTTTATCTCTAGTGTGGGAGGAGGGGAGCTTTATCACCAAAAAAGACCACAATCAATCAACTTTATCTACAAATTTGAAATTTTGAACACAACTTCCTGTGATCAAGACCTTTCATTTTTTTTTCACGGGAGCCAAACCGAAATCTTACTTTAGCGGCCATATTGGACAAATCCAATGTGGTCGCCACCCGTACCATAGCTTTTAAACCAAAAGTGGTAATGTCGCAAGATATATCTCTTTGGGGGGGCTTATGAAGACGAGGAATCCAATTATGACAATACTTTTAAGACTGAAAGTCAGTCACGTGTCAAGGTCAGGGTTATTTTTAGCCTTAACCTTGATAGTGGGCACATCTTGATGATCAGGCATACATTGGGCACTTATTACAACGATGTGATGACCTTTGTTCTAACAATTGTGTCATAAATATCAAATGTATTTATTGTTGCGAACATTTGACAGAGAACTGGGGATGATAACCCACAAATTAGTTATTATGTCTTTGCCAATCAAAAAAGATAGACATTTTACAATATACAACAGATGGGGGACTCGCGTCGCCTGAAAAAGATCTTAAAGATTTGAAACCGCTCAGGGCTCTCCCATTTGATATCAACCTCCAGCGACTTGATGATAGTTCAGGTAGTGCCTCCACTCTCCTTTTTCACAAGGCAGTTTACTACAAATCTTGTAGGAGTGCCTGCAATAGTCATCGCGTAAAACGGGCTGGCGAAGTATCAGATAATCCTAGCCCTAAGAACTTGGATCTTCGTTCGACCAGAGTTTCGGGTCTAGCCCAGAGAGACCAGCGTGTACATCTGTGTGAATATTGACAAAAATCTGAAGGAGTTGGCTGAAAAATCCCGGAACTACCAGCTACTTTCACGTCTGACAACACATGCTGATGTACAACGTGGGATGCTGCAAACAAGTACGATCGTGTATCAGCAGCAGTTGATTAAGCTTCTTCTCCGTTCAACCCGCATGGTCACTGCCCAGCTCATCATTTTCATGTCTGAGTGTAGAGAGGTCTTCAAATTCTCCTATCTACAGAATCTCTATAAGAGATTCAAAGAGCATCTACTAAAGCATCTCCCTGGGTGCAAATGGTAGGCAAAGGGCAAGAAAGTCTTGATTAGTTATGTGGAGACAGTGAGTGCTGCGTCAGCTCAATCCCTCTAGCGGTCTGAAATCAACCAGAATGATGCGCTGTTCCTGGTTAAGGCCGCTGGAATACTGCGCCATCACATTCTCGTCAAGCAGGATCCATTCAAAGGCTCATTCTCCTCACGTTGTTTGAGCAATCCAGTTCCTGAACCATTGCTGAGCGTCATGAATGTGCTCCTGCAGGGTCCGAAGGCCAGCATCATGGTTTCTCAGCGGCCAGACGAGAATGACAGCGATGCAACCATGAGTCAAAGGTGCAGGATCACGTACGGCCTCAACCATAATTGGTTTCCTTGTCCTCATAAACCCCCGAAAAGACGTATCACTTGTGACATTACCACTTTTAGTTTAAGAACCATGGTATGGGTAGTGGCCATATTGGATTTGTCGAATGTGGCCGCCAAGGTTATATTTAGGCTTTGATCCTGTGAAAAAATGAAAGGCCTTGGTCACAAAAACGTGTTAAAAATTTCAGAATTGTAGATAAAAGTGAATGTTTTTTTTTATTACGTCCCCCTACTACTACCCCTTTGGTTTATTACATTAGATAGTAAAAGGACATATTTTAGTAATAGCCATACAATAAATACTGAACGTAGTCCATATTATTTTGATCATCCACAATTATTATTCGCCACGAACCAGAATTACTGCGGATTTTGGGCTTGACAGAATGCACTTTTGTCTCACTTGGTATGGATTTCAACTCAACTCCACAATAATATCATATATAAAAATGTTGCAACATGATTACAAAAATTGTGTGACAATACCTGGAAGGAACACTGGTGTATTACAGTAATATAATTCAGTTGATGGTGACGATCATATGGAGGTAAATCTCTCTCTCTCTCGTTAGACACGCTTTTAACCCCCTCTCTCCCCCTCTCCAGGATGCCCGGCCTTGGGCCATTTAAGGGAGGCCAAGGCAATGGAAGACGCAAGAAGCTCCATCAATACGGTGAGTGTGTCATGGTGGTTGTGTCATGGTGAGTGTGTCATGATCGGTGTGCCATAGTGAGTGTCTCATGGTGGGTGTGTCATGATTGGTGTGTCATAGTGAGTGTGTCATGGTGGGTGTGGCATGGCTAGTGCGTCATAGTGGGTGTGTCATGGTGGGCGTGTCATGGTGGGTATGTCATGAGGAGTGTGTCATGGTGAGTATGTTAGGGTGGGTGTGTCATGGTGGATAAGTCATGGTGGGTGTGTCATAGTGAGTGTGTCATGGTGGGTGAGTCATGATCGGTGTCATAGTGAGTGTATCATGGGGGGTGTATCATAGTGAGTATCTCATGGTGGGTGTCTCATGGTGGGCGTGTCATGGTGGGTGTGTCATGATCGGTGTGTTATAGTGAATGTGTCATGGTGGGTGAATCATGGAGGGTTTGTCATTGTAAGTGTATCATGGTGAGACAGTTAAGGTGGGTCATGGTGAGACAGTTATGATGGGTCACGGCGGTAAAAGACAGCTATGTACAGTATATGCAAGCCACCACCATGAGAACTCTTCCTACAGTACAGCAACAGGAGCCACACTATGTACAGTAACAGGAGCCACACTATATACAGTAGAGTAACAGGAGCCACATTATGTACAGTACTGTAACAGGGGCCACATTATATACAGTAGAGTAACAGGAGCCACACTATATACAGTAAAGTAACAGGTGCCACATTATGTACAGTACTGTAACAGGGGCCACATTATATACAGTAGAGTAACAGGAGCCACACTATATACAGTAGAGTAACAGGAGCCACATTATGTACAGTACTGTAACAGGGGCCACATTATATACAGTAGAGTAACAGGAGCCACACTATATACAGTAGAGTAACAGGTGCCACATTATGTACAGTACTGTAACAGGGGCCACATTATATACAGTAGAGTAACAGGAGCCACACTATATACAGTA